CAACCACAAATTGGTTGCATTTGGTCCAGCTTCCCCCCCCCCCCTTTTTTTTTATGAAATCTGAAGCCCCATCCAAAACATGGAATAGACCATGTATAAAGATGAAAGAGCATTTGTTCATGGAATGGATGAATTATCATATCCTGGTTATTTCTGATGGAGCCAATGGAATTGCATTTCTCTCCAGAGCTAAAATTTTTGCTTTCTAAATTAAAATTTGCTGGTAGAATCTGTATATGGAAGAGTCAAACCTGGTCTGACTCTTAAAATAATTTGATAGAGGATTCATTTAGTTGTCAGGTTTAGGGTTTGCATTGGAAACACTTGGGCAAAGGGTGGTAGAAGGGTTTCCAATTTTGTCTTATCAAAGACAGCGTACTCTGAATGCTAATCATGAGTACTCTAAAAACTCAGACTTGAAATGCAGTAAGTCTGGTGATTATGGTAACTTATTATTGAGAGGGCTTGCATTTAATGTGGATTAGTCAGTGGCTATGATTTTATTTATAAATGGGCTCAAATTGCTTAAGCACGTGCTGGTTCTCTGGCAGTACGGGGATAAGAGGTGAGCACTGCCAAGCAGTGATTCCACACTGATTCAGGAATGGCTTTTTTTTTTTTTTTTACTCAGAACAGAGAAACGAGCTTTGGTATTGCTGGAATAGAAAACCAATTTAAAAAGCCAAAATCTGGCATGAAGAAGTCTGTATTCCTTTTAGTGGTTGTTGTTGCTATTATTATTGTTGTTCTTGACAGCAAGATGAAATCTTTTTCAAAGTGATCGATTACAGGTATTTTAATTGACCATTTTTGGCAAGATCTTAATGTAAAATCTCTTTTGAAACGTGGCCATGGTCTTATCAGAACATCTGTTTGCATAACATATATTTCATAAGTAAGATGCATGTTTTTTTTTAAAAGCCTGAATCATCCTCCCTACTTTTATTTTTAAGCTAAACACTTTTCAGCATAAATGTAAACCGCTTCTGCAAATGCAAGCTAAGCCTGTTGCTCTGTAGCCTTTGCAGTCCTCTTCCTCTCCCTTCCCTTTCTTTCCCTCTTCCACCCACGTACCTTCCTCCTACTCCTACTCCCCCAGGTGCTGGGATACTACAGAAAGCTCAATGGGTTTCAAAGATTCAACCTTCCCCCAACTTCCAAAAGATGAATTGGGAAAATTTGAAAAAGACTAACAATAAAGGATGTTACTAAAGGCCATTTTTAAGTCCCGAAGTGCTGAGCAGTCTATAGTGTTTACACTTCTACTAGGGGCTAATATTTTTTAAAGCAAATAAATTGTAAAAAGTAACACAGAAGTACCTCGTTAACCAATCCATGCTTCAGGTGACCTGAACGTGCAAATTTTACACTTGTGAACTGTACTAATAAATTACTTATTCTCTTTTGTGTCTTAATATTTACTGAAAATCTCATTTTAATTAACTTTTATTTAACTATTACAATATAGATATTGATTTATAGGTGACTCCTACCTTCCCCCTACTCTGTTGTTCTATGGTATGTAACTGTTTAGCAAGATTACCACTTTCTTTGTTAAACTCAGAAGCGTTTACTGTTTTGTTTCTTTATCACAAGGTGACAGACCCCTTATGGTGTATACCTGAGATTTCTTGCAGCTTGGGGAAAGAACCAGTCAGTAACTCTGTAAACTTAATGTGACTAATAGGTCGGTTCAACGGCCGTGTCCCAGCTGGGATTTTCCTCTGTGGGATAGTTTTTCCCTTTGGTGCTACTTTCCCTCGCTTTTTGGAGGGTAGTGGAATTTTTTAGTTACGTGAAGTATTTTGGATATAAAACCCAGCTGAGTAAGCCCAGTTTATTTTTACTTTCACTCATTCTCTCTTTTAAACAAGATTAGGGAAAACTTCCAGAGTAAAAGGAAAGTCAAATCAGTGTTGTTTCATGTGCCCAGTCTCATGGGACTCATGGTGACATATGAATATAGAAAAGATTTTAAGTATTAGTTGCTTCATAGCTGCGGACACACAAGTCTCAGCCATTTGTGTCTGGTTGGTGCAAGGTCCATAGATAACCTGACACATTTAAACAAATTATCCTAACCTGAAACGTCATGGAGAAAGGCTTTGAGAACGCCTGCTCTTTCCAACCGGTTTGTTTGTTTCTAATGGGGGGTGGGTAAATGAATCCCGTACTGATATATAGGTGGAGAACTGTGTCTCATTTCTTAAAGAGAGTGAGAAGACTAAATAGAAAAAGTATTTTTAATATTTCTTGTCTATTAATGTAGTGATGTGTACATTAACCCTTCCTAATCAGTGAGTTTTGAACTGAAGATACCTCACTGCTTTTAATTCAAGCAAGTAGTCCTTAAGTCCTAGGATTCACCTTCAAAGTATTTTTTTCTTCCATAAAAATTAACATTCTATCTTTACAAGTTAATACAAATTTAAGGTGGGGGGGGAAGTTGTGTCTCTGTAGAAATCTGCTGGGACAATGTGATGGTTTCTACAAGTACTGACTACAATTCTATATATAGGTATATATATAGAAGGCAGAAGATCTCTAACTTGTCTAATGTGTCGATGTTCTAGGGATAACATCACTCCCTGGTATCACACTGCTGTGAAAATCCCATCGGATGGGATTTGAATGGGAAAATTGATCTACTTCCAAATGCCACTTTTCTGAACAATAAAGGTCTACAGGTCACTCCCACCCTGAAAGCACACTGATCATTGACAGAACTGGATTTATTTTGGTAGCAGGAATGATCTCTGACACACATAAGAAAAACGTTTATTTTTAACAGTACTGTATCTGTGTTTTACAAAAGGAGAAATAAATTACCCTGGTTAAGGAAGCCTGGAGGAAAGTCAAAGTGGTGTAATATCCCACTGGTCCATCCACTGAAAAGCCTGATTTTATCCCCAAGCTGCAAGAAAAGCAAACAATCCTTTGTAATTGAGCTGTGGAGCTCATGAAAGAGAGGGACGTTTTTACTAAAGGACTGATGCATTACCCTATTTTCTAACATTGCCTTATGATACTGCTTCACTTTAAAATGCTGAGTTTTGAGAAGAGGCATTATGAGCCAGAGCGTACAAAAAATGTACTGTTTTTCCTTCCTTGCTACAGAAAGCAAAAACTTGGATGTTAGCAGAATGGCAGTGCAGTATAATTGTGTATTTTAAAAAAACACATCAGAATGGAGTTACACATAGTCAAGCTGGGTATAATGTGGTTAAGTAGAACTGAGTAATCTTGCCGTTTGTATTGCAGCTGCCTTTTGACTTTGTGCATTTTGCTTTTCTGTTTCTTAGATGCACAGCCCACAGATGGAGAAAGGGAGGTATGGAATCAGATCAGTGCAGTTTTACAGGACTCAGAAAGTATGCTTGCAGACCTTCAGGCTTACAAAGGAGCTGGTCAAGAAATTAGAGATGTATGTTTGTTAACGACAGTTCTTTGGAAGCAAAATCAAGCAAAACTCAATGTGATCCTTGTCTCTGTTCTGTATCCAAGCACATTCTATAAAACAATATGAAAATCTTCATTAAAATTGTAGTTAGGAAATATATTACAGATTAGGTGTAATGTTGAATATAAAGCCCTAATGTCAGATCATTAAATGATGGCTTTTGGAACTTCTTTTAGGTTTACTATTAGTAATTAGTAATTTTTTTTCACCTTGAGAAGCACCATTTCATATACCTCATTTCATGTATAGAAGTAAAAGTTGAGGACATAAAAGAAATACTCAGGTGTCAAAAATACACTATAAAAAAAAAAGTTGAAAATAGTTGTTCTTCTGTGTAAGTGTAATAATAAAACACAGTAAATTATAACCTTACATCCACTTTGCAGGCATCTTATTCTATAAAACTGGTCCCGAAGTACAGTTCTGAACTATAACCTAGAATTTGGCTCAACTGATCAAACCTTTCCCTGCATCAGCTTTGCAGTTACTGTTAGTGTGAGCTGTTGGTTACTTAAGAACCTGAGTATGTTGAAGATTTCAAAAGCATCAGAATATTAAAAAATTAAAAAAAAAAAAAAAAAGGGCTATTTTTGTAACCAGTAATCATACAAAAGGTCTTCCCTGATGTTTCTGCCATATTTTTTCCCCAAATAATGTGATAAAACATATTCCTGTATGTCAGTGGTGCATTTGAATGAATAATTTTAAATAACTATGTTACAGGAGGAGAGGGAAGGTGGAAAAAATGGTATTTTTTGGACTCGATAATTTCCTATTCCTGTGCAAAGTAAATCCTGTGCAATGTAATTTGTCATAATTGTTCTATGTTTTACAACACTTTCTAAAATAGTGAACTAGAAAAATTCCAAATGATCTTTTGCTTGTTATTCATGGATCACAGTTCTTTACAGTAATATTTTCATTTCAGGCAATACAAAACCCCAATGATATCCAGTTGCAAGAAAAAGCATGGAATTCAGTATGTCCTCTGGTTGTAAGGCTGAAACGCTTTTATGAGTTTTCACTCAGATTAGGTGAGCCCTGTTTTAGTATGTCTGTTTATTAGGCTACGTTATATATAAAGAAATAGGAAGTTTCTTTTTCCGTGAGCTTTTAAAGGGTTATTACTCTTTCTGTTTGATATCAACAGACATTTAACTGCAATTACATTTGTCGAGGCATATTTTTAATCTTCATTTAATTTCAAAATTATCATAGTTTGTTAGCTTGTTAGAATAAATCTGCATTATCTAAATAGAGTACAAGCAAAGAACGTGAAAAAACTGTATAAAGTTTTTCTCTTGTGCCTGCCACTCTTCTGCACTTCATTGGCCCATACTGTACTAATGCAATTTATTTTTTGTAATTTGGATCCTTCAGAGTTTTAAAAGGAATGTAGGCCAATAATATTTTGAGACTTTTTAAAAACAGGATAACGGGGGAGAAGGGTATCAATAAACTCACTCACAGGGTGAAAATCCAAAGTTGGGCAAGTTTTACACTGGCTTTGTCATCCCTACAAACCCCAAAAAATCATGTAATTATTCCTTCAGTTAGGACTCCGGAAGACAACCAGTGTGCAAAAATTTATGTATAAACTGGGAGAGCTCCCTCTGCAAGGGAATTCTTCTACACAATCCTGCTTACTAAGTCTTTCACTTTTTGAGTTATGCTAGTAATTATAGCCACAGGAGCTGAATTACATTGCTATCAGTGCCTAACAGTACGCTTTTAGTAACAGAGATGCCAGAAAAATCTCTATTATTATGAGCTGATGGCTAATTGGGGAAGATGAAAGAGTTGAATATCTGAATGCAAGAAAAATGCTTTCTCTAGAATTTTTGATAGGGAACCCAGATAAAGGGTGATAAAAAGGGAAAAGAGCTCAGTGATACAAAATGGAGAGAAAATGGCAGAGAGCCTGAAGAGGCAGGTGTCTTTGACTAATGTTTCTCACCTTAGAATAGTAAGAAAAAGCATTTCTGTTAGGGCTTTGCATGTTCAGAAGGTTCCTTCCGTTCAAGCAAAGTATATTTAGATACTTACTTAAAACTTTGTCATAATGTGGACTGAATAGAATTTGTGCATCTGATTTTTATTCAGAGAAAGCCCTGCAGAGCTTATTGGAGTCCTTGACGTGCCCACCTTATACTCCAACTCAGCACCTGGAACGGGAACAGGCTCTAGCGAAAGAGTTTGCAGAAATCTTACATTTTACTCTTCGTTTTGATGAACTTAAGGTTAATAAAATCTCTTAATACGTGCTGATTTTTTCCATGTATTTTGAACTGAAACTGATTATTTCCTATTTGCCTTCCTCTAAGATGAGAAACCCAGCAATTCAGAATGACTTCAGTTATTATAGGCGGACAATAAGTCGCAACAGAATAAACAACATGCATGTAAGTAATGAAATCTGATCTGCTGTTCACACTAAGGTATTTATCAGTGTGCATTTATACCATTTGTGGTAAAGTTTTTTCTTTTGATTTGGTGGCTGTCATGTTCTCTCCTTCCCACCAGGAGTTAATCAGCAGTCTGGATGAAGTGATTAGAGTGGAACTATTCATGCAACAGTCTGCTTGCTGACATGAGCATGTACTGCATCTTTTTCTTGCTGCCGGCAAGATTTTAAAGAGTTTTACTGACTGTTTTTTTCCTCATGTTTTCATCAGCTAGACATTGAGAATGAAGTAAACAATGAAATGGCCAATAGGATGTCCCTGTTTTATGCAGAAGCTACACCAATGCTGAAAACACTCAGTAATGCAACTACACATTTTGTATCAGAAGTAGGTAATGGGGGAGAAAAGGTCTAATACAGACGTTCTTGATTTTAATTTTGCAAGATGGTTTACTGAACAATGGCTGTTTTTAACCCTTCTAGAACAAAACGTTACCAATTGAAAATACAACGGACTGTCTAAGTACTATGGCTAGTGTATGTAAAGTCATGTTGGAAACACCGTAAGTTTTACCTTAAATCTTGTTTTTATTGTATGAGAGAATTTGTATTGTATTTTAAGTAGCCACCTGGGATAAACACATTTTTTTCCAAGTTAATTCCTGTATGTTTGCCATAAGTTGTTATCACATTTGTATACAAAGCATGACCTGGTATTAGATAGCCTTGCCTCCTATTTTAACCACCTTATGATATTCTTCATGAATCAGCGTTGAGTTTTGTTAGGGAGAGCTTACATGGTCAGCCTGTATTTCAACAAAAGGTTAAAATACAAGTGTAATCTTATGCACTCATAGGCTTCAGTGTCTGTCTCTTGTTTAATCAGGGCCATAGGCCAGCTACTGTCTCTTGATTGTCCATGCTGCTCAGTTATTAGCACGCTTAGGGGCAAGATTTTGGCTTTTCCAAGTAGCGCTTTCACAAATGATACACAGACTATTTTGAGGATCATTTGAGTAGATCTTTTTTGGATTTAACCATCTTACCCTAGATATGAGAAACTTCAGCTGTATGGAAACTGTACAGTTGTTTTCTTAGCTGCTAACATAGGTATAGCCAGTGGGGTTACTATTGTTTAGCTATGCATTTAGTCAAGTATTTTTTAGGTTAGATGTCTCTCTGAGTGGAAAACACATACAAGATAGAGTCAAGGTAGTCTTCCTGTCTTTGAATTGCTTGTTCATGGTGCCATGGAAAGGGTAGAATTCCTGAGGTTATTGTGTTTGTTTATGAAAATTCTGGAGAAGTGTATGTAGGTGGTGGGGCTCATCTCTCAATCCTGGGACATCATAGAAGTAGTCATTGAAAAGTAACCTTACATGTCAGCTCATTTTTTGGCAAAAGTGGAGAAACAGGAAGTTGTGAGTCATCTACCAGAAGACTATCTGATATTTAGTTCTAATTGTGGGATAATCAAGCATTTTCACATCAAAATGTCTGTAGCCCTTAAATCTGTTCATGTTATGATGCTGTGTTATTTAAACAGAAGAATAAAAGTTGAAGTTATTGTAAACTGAGAGGTAGTATAGTACAGATTTTAGTATTTTTAATGATATGTTTAAGTGAAAAAATCAAGTTTTATACTGAAAACCAGTGAATGACAGTAGACAACCCTATGTATTGTCTACTCAAAATAATATTTGTTAGAAAAATTGCGATAACATAAATTTTTCAGGATTTCTGTTTTTCTCTACTGTAGTTCATTTTTCATTTCCTGATGATGGTTTCAGGGATTAGAGCTGATAGGGGCTGTCTTAACTGTGCCATCCATATTCTTATTTTGGAATTGAAAAGTCAAAGAAAAACTCTCTGGAATGAGTTCAGACCAGTCCTATCTAGTGGGCTTCCACATTTTAGATGCTTAGTGAACCTGGGTTGTTGAAGTTGCCTATGGACTTAGGAGAGAGAGAGAGCAATGACTATGATCCGCCTAGGTGAAGCCTTAAACTTACTAGCTGCTGAAATTAGATGCCACTTAAATGTTAACTGTTTCAAAGTAGGAATTTAAGCAAAAAGAGTAGCTTTCCTTTGAGTTCCTGATATGGTGGGTTTCTAAGATTAAACAGAACTACGATCAGTCTTCATCATTTTTCATGAACTATGGAAGTCGTCTGTGAAGCCATCATCTTAGACATTTTGCTGAAGTGAGGATCTGAATTGTGAAGGGATGTTAGAAGGAGTTTACCTATATTTATTTGCTTTCTAAACTTCCTTCTAAATTGACAAGGACTTATGCAATTCAAAGAGCTTTAAAATCTTACTAAGATTCATCTACAACCTTAAAATACAATGTTCAGGTTTCATGCACTCATAGTCTAGTTCGCAAAATTGTCCAGTAAAAAGTCAAGACTGTTTCTTTTGTTCTGTTTTCCAGCGAGTACAGGAGTAGATTCACCAGTGAAGAGACCCTTATGTTCTGCATGCGCGTAATGGTGGGAGTTATTATTCTGTACGATCACGTTCATCCTGTGGGAGCTTTCTCAAAGACATCAAAGATTGATGTAAGAGTGACTTTTCTTTAATACTCTAGGTTTGAGAATACTAGTCTGCAGCTTTTTTTTGGCCCAAGCTTATGACTTTGTATAAATCATTTTAATTACTTTTGAATGACAAAATTTAGAATTTATCTTCACCTATGTACTTTAATATATCAGCTTGTTTGAAAAAAAATAAGGATCAGTCTTTTTCTTTGTATTTTCTTCCAGACACAGATCCTCATTTGTCTTTGTTAGCTCTGCTTTCCTGCCAACTGTATGGTTATATTAAAACAATTTTGTATTACACCTACCCTGGAATAAGTTCTATGGTCATAATTTTTTATTAATCATGTAATTTATTTATGCTGAAATGCTCATCTTTGGCAGTAGTTCTGTTGTAGATAAGCAGATATTCGACATTGTCTCTGCTTCGTCTGAGATCTAAAGTAGCAGAACTGAAATGTTATTGTCGTAATGTTGATAATGAGCCTTTGGTTTTAGCTTTGGCATGACCAGTCACAGGGAAATCAAGCTTATTTTTTCATCTGAGATACTGTAAGCACACACAAAACAGTACTCTTATTTTTGCTACATGTTTTTACAAACCTAAATCTCCTGCACCATGTCTTTCAGCAGAAATAAGCTGTAATTCATGAAAAAAGATGCTAAGGATTTCCCTTTACAAGAGAGCCTACTTCAAAAGAAAAGGAAAAAAATACATATATTATTGCCCTCCATGACAGTGAGTCTTCGTTAGCATTTTTCATCTGCAGATATCAGTATTTTATCACATCTCCTCTTCGACTCTGTTTTACGGAGCGAAAGATAGGTCACAAAGAGGTGAATTGATTTGCTCAAGGTCATGCAGCAGATAGAGCCCGGGAACTGAATGCAGACTTCCTGACTTCTAATTCTCTTGCCTACAGAGACAACACAAGTAAAATTTTGATAGGATCAATTATACAATGTGTGTACTTTTGTTTCTCATATTTATCCTAAAGCCCTGTAATCTTACAGGATAGTTAGCTAGATGTAAATGGGAGGCAGGAGATGTATGGCTCAGTTTTTAAAAATGAGTACATGGTCCCAAATCTTAATTTGCCTAATTAGTTTAGTGATTCTTCTCTAATAATAAAAAAAAAAATCTTATAATATTTCAGATTATGAGTTTGTTTTACTGTGAAAAAACATTCTTTTCTCCAAACTAGTCACTTCTTGGGAGCCATGTCACAAGAATTTCAGGGACAGTGGAACAAATTACTCTTTCCTTACTCTTTCAAGACTGGAGACTGTATTTCAAGCTGTTAATTACAGGCTCCTAGCTTAGACGTCCTAACAGCTTCTCTTTTTTGACTGTTTTAGGGATTCTGATTCTAACAAAAACAGAAAAAAATGGTTTGAATTTTTATCCCCTTTGAGTTTGTCTGATCTGATATGATGGGGCATGTAAACCTGTACTGAATGATGTGAATATAGTCTTGAGTTTCTCCAGCTCGGGAAAAGTAACTGTGTCACTTCAAAACATGTGCTACTACCCTGAGAATTTCATCTGATCTGCTATTTGCAAAGCTAGTTTTGTCTTTCAGTTAGAAATGAGCCAACTGAGCAGTGATCAGTGATTGTTAGGCTGGTCATTGTGCAGGAGGCCAAGTTACGTTTTCTGAATCATTTTTATTGGCAAATACATGGACCCTGACTTCAGTTAAGTATTTCATCATCCACTTCCATAACAAGGCAGAGTTGTGCTTTAGCTGCAAAGAAACTACTGGCATATAGATTTAGCACTGTAATGTGACTTGGAAAATTAGAAGGTTCAAATCTTGACTCTGCCATGTCTTTATCTGTCATTTTAAATAAGATGGAATTCCACTAGACTAATTTCTGGACAGCTTTTAGATGTCTTCATAGCAATGGGAAGAAATAGGTACTTCCGCAGCACGATTCACTACATATGAAAGTATATTCTGAATAGGTTAGAGGAATTTCCTATTTCTCTCTATTGACTAGACAGGGAGTCTGTATAGCAGGGTCGGATGAGTTCTACCTCCACTTTCTCTGCTTCATTTCCCCTTTTGTAAATTTGGACAGAGTTTCAGCCTGTTTTTTACAGTCTCCATGAAGATGTTCATTCAGTGTGGTGTTTAAAATCAACATCATGGACTTCTTAGATTAAATTTGTAACCACTAGTTATAAAACAAATCATAAGTTATCACCAGTTAGGTTTACAACTAAAAACTAAATACTGAAAATTACTTCCTTGTGTGCAAGCATAAAAATAAAAGTCAAAGTTGAAACATCTCTTCTGATAGTTGCTAACACCAATGACATGGAATTCTCTTCCAAAATCTCTTTTTTTAGCTTGTATCAGCTGTTTTTGATATTTTTTTAAGTTGCAGTTGGAGAAAGCATGTGCAAGTTAACATACATTCACTTGATTTATAATTTATTATCTACAAACGCTTATTAAAGTAGATGTTGCTTTCTCAAAAGTTAGTTTTTTAACTTAAGATAATTTTTAATAAGTTATAATGCTTTTATTGTGTCCTATAAAGCAGCATTAACACTCAGTAGGAAAAAAACCCTGCCTGTCTTTGGTGAAACTTTTCCTTGTTTTCAGCTAGTGCAATTCATATATTATTGTTCAATAGTGGCATGCTTCTGTTCCCAGATGAAGGGATGCATAAAAGTTTTAAAGGAACAACCACCTGACACTGTGGAAGGACTTCTGAATGCTCTCAGGTATGTGTGGAATAATTGTTTGATTCAGCCTTAACAAATTCCTCTTATTTTTCTCCCAATCTCTTTATATTTAAGACTTCACCTTGATTTATTACGAAAATTGTTCTTTCAGGTTTGCCTTCATCACTTGGGGTTTTCTTAAGTAATATTAACTTCTTTCAATTCCATTTCACCTTGATAAGCAATGGCTATTAATGTTGGAAGTCATAATGTCCTTTTTCAGAGATACTTAAGGTTCATGTTATCGCCTAAAACTTAGCCATCTAAAAGGTAAACAATACCTCAAAGGTAAACAATATATCTAAGCCAAGATTTGTTACATAAAATACCCTGGCAACTAGAACATTTTAGAAGCGAAGAGTAGAATTTCTACTTCTCAAACCCTTGATACTTCCCTTCTCTCTTTCCCTGTGATTTGATAAGACTTTTTTTTTTTTTTTTTTTTAATTTTTCTAAATTAAATGATACAGCTTCAAGAAAACAGCAGCCTAAATCCCAACCCTGTAGCAAAGTGTTTAAGGTGCTGTCTTGGGAAGCAAGACACAATGGTCTGACACTTCTCTGAAACTGAGAAAGGAGTCTTAGTACCGAGTTTTTCAGAGCCGTATTGAATTCTGTAGTTGTTGAATGCTTGGATAGAGTGAAAACTGCAGCCATAACCACCTCCATATTTGCTTATCATGTCTTTTGAATTAAAATTTATGTAGAGTTAAATCCTACAGGTATCAGGTGGGTTTTGAGTTTATGTGATGATTGATCTCCCTGCGAACATAAGCAGTGGAGAATGTTTGGGCTTAAATGGAAAAAAACACACTAAAGCTCTTCAATCCTTCCAAGATATTCCCAAAAGTGTAACTCAGCACCAAACAAACTCTGCTAGTTACAAAATCCAAAAAAATAGAAAACCCTCTATGTGATAGTACATTGTAAGATGTAAAGGTACAGGACGTTTAAGAAAGCTGCTTAAAATTAGGCTTATAGATTATACCAAAATTCAATCTAGATTCCTAAATCCTTTTAGTATTTACCCAATTTTTTTATGTCTTTCCATGTTTTTTACTTCTTTTGAGGCTTTTAACTGCAAAAAAAAGAGATAATTTCGACTCAGAATTATGACAATGTAATAGACAGATGGCAAACAGTATTTAGCCAGGATTTAGCCACAATTCTCCACCTATTAACAGGGACTAATTTATTGCAAGGTGTATTTAGAAGATAAAGAGCACCAAACTATTAGCAGTTAAATGCCAGTGATCAGTGACGAGAGGAACATGTAAATTCCTCCTTTGTGTAATTGAACTGCACTGATTTCAAAAATAGGCACTGAAGTTTTCAAACTTTTCTAATCCCTGTTCATTTTATAAAATATTGTTTTAATTTGTAATTTCTAGGTTCACTACAAAACACCTGAATGATGAATCTACTTCAAAACAAATTCGAGCTATGCTGCAGTAGTATCCTGAGACAAGTAGATGTTTGTATTGATCACAGAAGATGTGTATGTTTACATAATTTAATACAGTTTGATGTTAATACTTGTGTGTATTTACATAACCATTTTCTTCACATTGCTAAAATATATGAATCTGTTCATAACCTGACTGACTTTATATAGTGCAGCCTAAGTTTTTATGCTAGCCTTTCTCTTTTGACTTTTAAAATACTTTTTTACTTAGATACTTCAGCTACGACAGTTTATCTGTGCATTTTAATCCTTAAACACCTTCTCTATCAGAGAAGTAAGTAGTAGTGAAGACAAAACGGAAATCACATAAACTGAAATGTCAAAGATACCACAGAAAAGGAACTTTAAAGAAGGAGAAAGTTAATATAAGAGAAAGTAAAATTCATTGGATATGTTTTAAGAACGTGCAGTTTTTTACTCCGTTAGTTTTAGGATCTCATCAAACTCATATGGAGAATACCTGAATGTTCATCACTCTCATAAAATACATTGTCTTTCCTGTAATAAGTGAAGATCCACCTAATTTTAAGGATTACGTGCTGGCTGACATCCAAAAACGTATTGTAAGGAGGTCATTTTATCTCTTTTACTAAGTATAAGCTGTACCTTTCAACCATTGAGGAAATGAACATCCTTTTTCAGGTTCAGTATAAACAAACAGAAAATGTGTTTTAAGACCATTGCTAGATTTTGAAAATTCTGTATAATTTTATTAGATTTAGAAAGGAAAGGGAAAATACTAATGCTTTGACTTAACTAGAAAGGGTTTGTCAGTGTAAATATATCATGATGAACATTATCTCTCAGACAGCTCTACCCGGTAAATAATTTTTTTACTGATATAAACTGGTATAAAGCAGAACACTTTTCTGTAGCAGCAAACTTCCCTAGTGTCAAATTGACCTCATCAGACTAGGGATGATATAAACAAGTTTTAAGAGCTGAGCTGTTCTTAGGCACTCCGTCAAGTTCCTTGATAGTATTACTCATTAGATGATTCAGTCTCAACACAGAAATATATATCAGCTGACTGCTCTTCATTGGTTTTTGAGATGTGATTGATGCTTCAAGGAGTTGAGTTCCTTGCCGAGTTGTTTGTTCCTACTTTCTAGTAATTTTTCCAGTAAATGGAATAGAAATACTTTGCCAAAAGCAGCAAAGTGCTCATGCTCTGTTAAGTGTGTCCTCTGGGTGGTCTGCAGTTGCTGTACATATTCTTGCAGAGGTCACGTTCTGAAAATGTGTTCTATTTTGTGTACTTTGCTTGCATGTATGTGTGAAAACTCCAGTGCTTGTGCACAGATTCAGATTTGAATTTGCTTATTCCTGTGTATGTAAATCAGGGTTTGTGTGCTCTCACTGGATTTTTCATGCATATCACTTCTAAAAACATTACCTTAAGACTTTGAAAGTGCATTTGGTCTGCTGAAACTCAGCTGCACTGTGACAAATTCAGTTGTTGAACTCAGTCCTTAAACAGTATTAATATCATGAGTTCTTTGGAGTAGGAATTGCCTTAGGGTTTATTTCTGAGCAGAACGACCACTATGAGGTTTCTCAAGCCTGATCAGAACCCATAGGCACCAACGTTACATGCGTCGTGATTCTGGACAGCACTGGAACTCCAGTGTTCATGTCACACATCTGCAGTTGTAGCAGCAGATCGCTATGTTGTCAGGAACAGAATTAGAAATCACGCTAGTCTTTTTTTCTTTTTCTGGAAGCAATGATCACACTGCTTTTTCACAGTAGTAAATCCACTGTTTACAAACTCCATTTTTAATGGGGGGACATTTACAAATGTATATTAGGGGAAATCCTGCTTTGTTCATAGTCACTTCCAGTTAGGTAAGTCTAGGTGGATGACAGGTCATTCTGTTGAGCTTTGGTAACTGAAGTTAATACATGCTTTACCTGCGATTATTTGTCAAACAATGAAGTCTTATCTTTAAGTAGCCCGGAGGAAAGCTATTTGTCACTTGTATAATAAAAATGTAAACCTTAAAGCATTCCGTGAGTTGTCATGTGCTGTTTGCCGAAGTCACTGAATTTCTTTGCCTGCTATGATGTTTTTGTACAGAAGTTTGTTTGAAATAATAAAAAGTTTGGTACAGTAAGCACTGGGACTGTCTGTATTTAGAGACAACATAAACAGGTTGAGAAGTATCGCATTTAAAGTTTTGGATCTGAGATATGGTAGGCTCACCTTTATGTATCCAGTTTATAGTTCATTTAAAAAGCATTTAAAATGTTTCACTTGTATGCCATAACAACATAACCTCACATCACTTAAACAATTCCTGGGGTTTTCTGACGATTCTTGGTACTTGTCTGTCATCTTGACCAGGGGAAATTGTTGATACTGCTTTACAGAGTAGAGGGCATAATTCCCTTCTATGACTTTTATATCTTCACATTAGTCATCCTAGGCTATGGTGGACATCTCGGGTTGCATTTATAATCAATAAGGTCACCAGAGGATGATTCATTTAATCTTAAGATAAGTGCAAATGAATTGCTTTAGGAAGAAGAGCTATATAGACTAATAGTCAAAGTTATTGATCTCCATTTTGTCAGTGTTTCATCTTATTTTGGCTCATCACTGTGTAAGAACACATGTTTGTAGTATGATAAATAGTTAAACCTCATAATGACAGCATTTCAGAATGTGCATAAATGAGTGTACTAGTTTGGGTCAGAACAGCCCTAAAAAAAGGGCTTGTTGTGTGGTGGAAGAAAACATTATTTTAGGGTGGTATGGATTTGAAAGACTAGAACTTGCTGCTGTAAACAAATGAATGGGTTTGAAACACAATTTATGACTTCTACGCTTTCTGCTGCTATTAAGTGGCTGTCACGAAGGACAGTTAGTAAGATTATATTTACTGGTATGTGATAGACCACATCACTCAGATAAATTATCTAATGTTTTCCATGTCTACTAAAATTTACAAAGCAACAAAAAGTCTTCTCTGTCTTGCTTTCTGTGTTGTATTTCAGCTAAATTTAAACTGGAAGTAAGATGTAAGTAGTATATAAGATGACTTGCGTTCTTACATTTACTCTGAATTAAACAAAGTAGGACATAAATTCTTCATATGAAATGATCCCTCTTCCCCCTTCCCCATTTACTTCTTGGGAAGTTTAATGGAATCAATCACAAAAACACAGTGCCAGTTAGGTGGATGCACATTTGGGAAATACTGCATCATTTCTTCATGCCACATCTGGTTTTGGCCAAAAGCAGTACAAATTCTTGTCTGTCCAATTCTCAGTCTGTCAAGGTCCCTCTGAATGGCAGCACAACCATCTGGTGTATCAACAACTCCTCCCAGTTGTGTATCATCTGCAAAATTCCCGTGGGTGCATTCTGTCCCACCCTCCAGGTCATTAATGAAGAAGTTAAACAGTATTGGTGCCAGTATCAACCACTGGGGTACGCCACTAGTGGCTGGCCTCTAGATGGATTTTGTGCTGCTAATCACAACCCCTTTGAGCCTGGCAGTTCAGCCAGTTCTCAGTATACCTCACTGTCTGTTTATGTCATCCGTATTTCATCAGTTTGTCTATGAGGATGTTATGGGAGGGAGTGTCAAAAGCCTTGCTGAAGTCAAGATAAACAAGCCTTCAGTGACATCGGCCAGCTCTCTTAGCATTTGTGGTGCATCCGATCAGGTCCCATAGACTTGTGTATGTCCAGTTTGTTTAAATCTTCCCTAACCTGATCCTTCTCTGCCAGGAGTAAATCTTCCTTGCTCCAGACTTTCTCTCTGGTCTCAGGGGCCTAGGATTCCTGAAGGCAAATCCTACTGTTAAAGACTGAGGCAAAGAAGGCACTGAGTTCCTTGACCTTTTTTGTGTTCTTTGTCACCAGGTCCCATACCCCATTTAGCAGCAGGCACACATTTTCCAGAGCTTTCCTGTTGCTGATATACCTGTAGAAACCCTTTTTATTGGCCTTCACATCCTTCCCCAGATTTAACTTCAGAAGGACTTTGGCTTTCCTAACCCCAACCATGCATGCTCAGACAACGTCTTTATATTCTTCGTGGGTCTCTCGTCCCTGCTCCCACTTCCTGCATGCTGCCTCTTTATGTTTTAGTCAGGAGCTCTGTGTTCATCCATGCAGGCCTCCTGCCATCTTTGCTTGGTTTCATGCTTATCAGGAAGGACCGTTGTTGAGCTTGGAGGAGGTGATCCTTGAGAATAAACCAGCTCTCCTGGGCTCCTCTTCTCTCCAGAACTGTATCCCATGCAATTCTTTCAACCAGATCCCCAATTCTTTCAACCAGATCCCTGAACAGACCAAATTAAAATTCACAAATTAAATCTTTCCTGTAAATCATCTTGTGACTGTATAGTCAGGAATATGCTTTTAAAATTGCATGTGTTCTAGGACTATTAGAAGTGCATGACTCTATGAACATCAAAAGTCAAGAAATACAAAGTCTTGCATACCCAAACGTTTGTTAATAGTTGCAAATAGTTGAAGGGGTGGCTTTTTGGGGTTGTTTTTTTTTTTCTTTAAATTAGGACATAAATTATTTATCTCTTGCCTCAGATTAATTCTCTAATGCAAAATTGTGGAATCTATGAATTCACACAGTGAAGCAGATTAGGTAATGCAATGGAAGCCATAAAGCTGAAAGAGTGACATGAATTTGATTCACCAGTAAGAGAATAAAACCCATTTTGGTCAAAAAGCTAATATAGCAGATCGAGTATTTTAACTTAGTAGTCTGTAATGCTTCCTGCTACAGACTAATAAAGGTGAATTCCTGACTGCCACATAATCCAAATTCTGCAAACAGAATTCTCTTTCACACCAATTTTAAACAAATATAACTCAATTGATTTCAATAGAGCTGTTTCTGATTGACACGGGTGTAAATGATACCCTTTGTCTATTCTCAGTCATGGCCTTTGACCTAAATTGCTTATTACTGAGCAAATTGAGTCTTCTGCTAGTGCAGATCAATGACGTAACATGATAATCTTGCAGAGCTCTATTGCGCTTGACTGCTTTGAAATTAAACTAAAATGAACAGTGCAGTAGGTGTTCTAAAAAATCAGTAAGTATATAGCTAAAAAGTAGACCAACCAAGTGCTAATCCCTAGTTTAAGAGGAAGA